ATGGTATTTAGGCTGTGTTCCTCAGCTGCTAAGACTTGTGTGTAGATGGGCTCGCAGATTGGTGACCGCATGGTGGGCCTGCAAATATGCTTGGGTAGATTCGTACCTGGGCTTGCTGGTTTTGGAAAGAAATGAGTTTTGGACCGGCGAGATAGACCCCATTTTAATAATATATATATATATATTTATATATATATATATATTTTTTTTTTTTTTTTTTGTACAAAATAATATTGTGATAACATTAAACTTTTAATAAATTTTTTTTTATTCCTTATTTTGGTGTGACTGAACTCAAAATTTGAATATTCGAGTTGCCTACGTATCCTTCCAAAGAAGAGATCAAGTCGTAACGTAGTTCAAATACATACATATATTTTTTTTGATATTTTCTTTTTTTGTGCCGTTTGCAGTTTCAGCTCATGCAGGCAAGGAGCGTTTGTTGTCACCTTTTAGGCCCGTGCGAACGAGGAGCTTTTGGTGCCGTTTGCAGTTTCAACTCGTGCAGGCAAGGAGCTTTTGTTGTCGCCTTTTATGCTCGTGCGGACCAGAAGCGTTGGTTCGTGCAGTTTAGGCTCGTGCGAACAAGGAGCTTTGGTGTTGCCTTTTATGCTCATGCAGACCAGGAGCATTGTGCCATGCAGTTTAGGCTCATGCAGGCGAGGAGCTTTGTGTCTTGCAGTTTAGGCTCTTACAGACAAGGAGCTTTGTTGGTTCGTCAAGTGATCCGGAAGAGTTGTTCCTCGCAATCTTCGTAGCAATGAGCCTTGACCGAGTGATTGAAGAAGTCTTCAGGAAAGAAATCGCACATCGTGATGGGGATGGACGATCTATGTGTCGAAATTTCATCATCTTCAACACGTTTACGTTGCTTTGTAGGTTAACAAGAGCTGCTTTGCCCCCTTTCCGATTGGCGGACTCGTGGAGGAGACGTATGCTTCTTGTGCAATTTCTTAGGAGTGACTTGAGTCCATCCTTCAACTTTGCTTGTCTTGGAGGATGCCCCCGACGGTTGAGGTAAAAACTTTGAGTCGGAAGAGCCAGAAGTGATGGTGGTATAGTTTGACTTCACCACATCGTCAAGATCTAGCTCGATGATTCCTTTCTGAGCCAGCTTCATGATGAGATCTTTCAGCACAAAGCACTTTTCTGTCGGATGACTGATGAAGCGGTGGAATTTACAGTATCTTGGACTGTCGGTACGATTCATCTCTTCCAGCCGTCTGCACTCAGGCAAACCGATCACCTTCTTGTCTAACAGGTCATCCAGCATGGCAATCACATCAGAGTCGGGGAATGGATAAGTCTTCTCCTCAAGCTCCTTCAAAGTGCGTCTACGCATCTCTTGATCACGAAAAGCTTCGGCTTGAATCGCCTTGCCTCGTGTAGGGATTTTGACGGGAGCTGTGTTGACCGTCATTGCTTCCTTGGTGGATTTCCACGCAGTCTTCTCCACTTTTGTCTCAAGAACTTTTTCGTTCTTGTAGTCGGCGATCGGTTCCTTCTTCCCATGATGGCCCATGATGGGCGATGCTCAACTCCATGTCATGGGCGCGGGTGGCCAATTCCTCGAAGGTCCGTGGTTTAATGCCTTGAAGAATGTATTGTAAACCCCATTGCATACCTTGGATGCACATCTTGATTGAAGAGGTTTCCGATAGCCTGTCTTTACAGTCGAGGCTTAGAGTGCGCCATCTGTTGATATAGTCGATGACCGGTTCATCTTTCCATTGCTTCGTACTTGTGAGCTCCAGCATGCTTAAAGTGCGGCGGGTGCTGTAGAAGCGGTTAAGGAATTCTCTTTCCAATTGCTCCCAGTTGTTGATGGACTCAGGCTCTAGGTCCGTGTACTATTCAAAGGCGTTTCCTTTCAGTGAGCGCACAAACTGCTTGGCGAGGTAGTCTCCCTCCGTCCCCGCATTGTTGCAAGTTTCGACGAAATGTGCAACATACTGCTTTGGGTTTCCTTTTCCATCAAACTGCATGAACTTTGGTGGTTGATATCCCCTCGGCATCTTTAGGGTATCAATCTTCTTTGAATAAAGCTTTGAGTACAACCCAGAGGTATTTGAGCTCCATTCGTACTGTGCCTTGACGGTGCTGGCGATCATCTCCTGCAGTTGCTGGATAGAAAGAGATCCCATGAGTGCCGCTGCTTGGTCTGGCTCCGGCTTCACATCGATATTCTCCACCGGAGGCTCTTCTTCTTCGCGATCTTCTCTTTTTAGTGGATCATCCTTTGGGTTGGGATTCTCACCGTCTTGTGGCTCCAGTCGGCTGACGAGTGCAGCGATTTGCAAGTCTTTTTCTTCAACAATCCGTGTTAGCCTTGCGATCGCTTCATTCATTTGAGCCAGTTGTTCTTCGATAGAGGTAACGCCGATGGTCATGACTTGTGCAACCAATAGACGTGACTTTCCTTTAGACATCCAGTATGCTGACGAAGAACGTCGTTGGCTATTTTGGGATGTCATCTTGTGTGCCTCAGCAGCATACTTCGGTGCCCCCAGCGAGGTCAGGTTTATGACAGAATCGCACCTTTGATGCTCCCCTTGCTCTTTTAGCGGCACCAACTTTGAAGTGGCATGTTGAGGAGCGGTTGTGGCGCCAATGGATTGTCTGTTTGCGGCAGAAGTGCTTAGGATCCTTCCCTCAGTGGTTGCGAGAACGGCTTGTCTCTTGCTTGATGCCATTGACTTTGAGGTGTGTTTGGATTTCTTGAACGGAGAAAGAGATGAGAGGTAGAGATTGTCCCACTGGGCGTGCCAATTTGTGAACACTGAAAATTCCTGAAACGAAAGAGACAAGAACACGTGTAAAAAATAATATTTTTTGTGATTTTTCTATTTATGGGGTTACGATCTCTAATTTGATCCTCTGATTCGATCTCCGTAAGGTATTGATTTGTGGATGTTTCGTTGATCCAAGGGCCATCGAGGCTTGATCTTGGATGAACTGTTGGAAGTTTCTTCAAGGGGCCGTGGGCTTGATCTTTGAAGGTGGATTTGAGCGGATCTTCAAGGAGCCGTTGGGGCTTGATCTTGAGGATGAGTGTTTCTTCAAGGGCCGTTAAGGCTTGATCTTGAATAACGGTGATGAACGGATCTTCAAGGGCTTTTGGACTTGATCTTGAAGAACGGTTGGATGTGTGGATTTGTTGATGTTGTTGATCCAAGGGCCGTCGGGGCTTGATCTTGGAAGAACGATGAACGACGAACGAATAACACTTTCTTCAAGAGCCGTCAGGGCTTGATCTTGAATTGGTAATTGTTAATCCAAGGGTCGTCGGGGCTTGATCTTGGAAGAACGATGAACGAAGAACGAAGAACACTTTCTTCAAGGGCCGTCGGGGCTTGATTTTGGAAGAACGATGAACGAAGAACGAAGAACACTCTCTTCAAGGGCTGTCGGGGCTTGATCTTGAAGAACAGTGATGAACGGATCTTCAAGGGCTTTTGGGCTTGATCTTGAAGGTGGATTTGATCCAAAAGGTGGATTTGATCCAAGGGTCGTCGGGGCTTGATCTTGGAAGAACGATGAACGAAGAACGAATAACACTCTCTTCAAGAGCCGTCGGGGCTTGATCTTGAATTGGTGGATGATTGTTGATCCAAAGGGCCGTTGGGGCTTGATCTTAGGATGAACGATGGACGAAGAACAAAGAGCGAAGAGAGCTTTCTTGATTCTTCGGGAACTTGGATGCTTGAGAGCTTCGGAGTTTCAGAGCTTCAGAGCTTCAAGAATTTTGCCTAAATATTTTTTTTTTAAATGAATGAATTAGCCTTCTATTTATAGAAATTTCCAAGGCCTAATTTTGAATATAATATTCCAGATGAAATAAGTCATTTCTGCCAGGTGTTGACACGTGTCCTGTTTGATGACTTTTCCAACTTATTTTGATTTTTTGTTTAGACACACGCTACGTGTAAAATTTATGTAATACATGAGCGTTGAAACTTTGATTTATTGGTCAACATTTATTTACCGAAATTTCGATGTCTACAGATATTTCAACCTTTTATTGTCCGGAAAATAAGAGGGTGGGTTGCGTAATTGGGTTCAGTTTTAATTTTTAACTCAAATTTGGACGGTGATAGCGTCCCACAGACTACAACCACGCTGCAGGTTATTCTAGTGCCAGGAAATGGTGGTTGCTGGGTGTGTCGGGGTCGCGGATGAAGGGGCAGCTTATTTTTCGTTTTTGCTTTCATTGACATATTTATCCCCATTCTTTGACTTATTTATCCCCATTCGTAAGGTTTTTTGTTGTAATTCAGAGTTTTTAGAGGGTTATACTTGTCTTTTCAGCCTAGCTTAATTTTCTTTTCCAAATTAGCTGAAATTATCTTATATTAATGGGAAATTAAAGAAACAATTGCATGAGTTAGATTAGTCTACTCTTTTTTTTGTTGTTGAGTCTGGATCATCGGATCCTCTTTGTGAGGATCCTGAGAATCCATGAATTGTACCCGTTCATTGTTCATAATGTAGTTAGAAATCATTTAAAAAATTTTTATTTAAAAATAAGCATAAATAGTAATTGACAAAAATTGATCGCACGATGTACGATGAACATACATGATTCACGAATCCCCAAGATCGTCACCAAAAGGATCCGGAGAGCATCCTGTTGGGTTGGAAATAATCCTCTTCCCCTTGAAACGTTTGTAAACTTGTCAACTTGACGACTTAAGCTTTTGCATGCGAGAAAAATGGTGAACAAACGAAACTTATGAGTTGGTATACAAATGTCATGCAAATTAAGTACTTGGCATATACATGTCTATCCTCTTTTTTCTTCTTTGGACTATCATATACGTACATAAATGTACATATACAAATCGATATGTATATATATATATATATATATTTTTTTTTTCTTGTCGAAAGATAAGTACAAGATAAATTTTCTAAAAATAAAAAGAACCATATACTACAATATGAGAGAAAAAGAGGGAATGTTTATTGGTTTCTGGAGTATAAATAGAAGGAAAGCGTTCATACCGGATCAAAATTATGTAAAGTAGGCTTGTTTCTGAAGTCGTAGGCGGCCATCGTTAAATTCAGATAGAAGACGTCTGCGACTTTAAAACAACAACGATCAGGCCGTGTCTCGCTTGTGAGCAACTTTGGTGCCTCTCTTGGTTTCACGAGGCAGAAACCAGGTTTATCTAATCCCTTCCGTTGTTAAGAACATTTTTCCATTTAATCATTTTATGTTTTATGCATGTCCTATGTGTTTTATAGCTCAAATGGCTAAAATTATGATGCATGTGAGGAAATTGAGTAAAATGATTAATAAAATCTAAAGATTCAATTGCTTTGCGTGCGTATATATTGTGTCTACGTATGAACATGTTGGATATAATACCAAATGTTCAAGCTTTTGGTATTATGGAGAATGAGGAAATAGGGTTTAAGATCATGGATTGGAATCCATCCAAGTGCAGTTAGTGGTTAAGGAAATATTATGTAACACCAAATTAACAGTTTTTTTTTTTTGGTCAAAATATATGTGCTCGTTAGGAACTATTTTTAAAATGGTTGAAAACACTTTTTATGAAAATGTTTTCGGAATCAGTCTTTAGTAAAAAATGCAAGTGAATCATGGAAAAGTACTTGAAATGTTTTCTATAATAAGCACTTTAAGTGCTTTTAGAATCTAGAAACATATTTTCTAAACGTTTTCAGTCATTTTAAAAATATTTCCAAACGAGTCTTCATTTGTGCAAATAAGAGTTCCTTTTTCTTTGACCAGAAAAAAAGAGAGAGAGAGAGAGAGAGAGTTCTTTCTCCTATACTTTAATTCATATCGAGGCTAAGAAAATATTAGATGACGCCAAATTAACAGTTTTATGTGCCAAAAATATACGTCATTTGTGCAAATAAATGTTCCTGAAAAACTCTTTTTTCTATACTTTAATTCAGATCGAGACTGGTGGTGTATTTGTTTTCTTTTCAACAACACGTACGTGTGATGACATGACAGTTTAGGTAGCTTAGGAATTTTATAACTAAGCAAGCTTTAGAACTTAATCAGATACTGTTATGCCATGAAAAGCATTCACTTAGAGAGTTGATATATTTTTGCTTTCCTATTTCAGTTAAACAATACATGAAATCATGACTTTCCTCCACTCGTTTTCAGTTTTAATTAAACAATACACCAACATAAGCACTGCCTAGCTAGTGCCTACATCCAAATACAATTTTGACTTATGTTCAAGACAACATGGGTATACATAACCCTTGTCTTGAATTTTTTTTATTTAGTGGTTGGCTTAAGTAAGCAATAATGTTACGCACGCACCGTGTTAGTCAATCATTTATTCGATTTTAAACTTAGGCGGACCTCATTTAATGAACAAACCAGAGGAAAAATGGTTGGTCTTCATGCCTTTCGCTACCAAAGTCGTAATTAGGACCCAATTTTTTTGGGAATAAGGATATATTAACACTAAAGGGTGAGGGAAATAAATTAATTTTGATCTTGGCATTACGAAGTTTAAAGTTAAGATTTCTCACTTACACGTAAAGAGATTTACTGTCGTTTAATTAAGGCCATTAGAGTTAACAAGGTGAGTAGAGTGATACATGTAAATTACTGGCATTTAATCCGATTAAATCCATGAGATTCGATATTGTATTCAATAAAAGCTTTTTTCCTTTCTTTGATCACAAATCAGATCCCGTTTGAATGCAACGCGGTTAGTTCAATTTGAGCACTGTAATTTTACTAATTTGTGCGTACATTTTGGAGGGTGACAAGGACAAATCACATTTTTGGTGCAATATTACAGTGCCGATTTATTGTCTTAAAAATGTTTGTCTTTACATGTTAACTCACAGCAAGCACTGATTGTAAAAACGCAGGAGAGGATACTCTCAGAAAAACCAGAAAAAGAAGAAGAAGAAGAAGAAGAAGAAGAGAAATGGCTGGTGGTGGAGAAGGTCCAACGCTAGAGTTCACGCCAACATGGGTGGTGGCGGTGGTGTGCACGGTCATCGTGGCTATATCTCTCGCGGTAGAGCGGGCCCTACACTCCGGCGGCAAGTACTTGAAAAAGAAGAAGCAGAAGCCGCTGTACGAGGCGTTGCTCAAGGTGAAGGAGGAGCTGATGCTGCTGGGGTTTATCTCTCTCCTCCTCACTGTCTTTCAGAACAGGATCACCAAAATCTGCGTGAACCCTAAGATTATGGACAAGTGGCTGCCATGCAAACTCCACCATGACGGTCATCTGGACGGCAAAGAAACAGCCCATTACTCCGCCACCTCCGTGTTTGGCGGCATTTTTGGACCTACCAGGAGGCTGCTGGCTGCCGGGGCTAAGGCTCAACAGGGTTACTGTGGCAAAAAGGTATCTTCAACATAACCCAACTCCCTATTTATTTATTCTTTTTTTTTTTTAATTTGTGCTCCTATATATGATGATCCTCTCAATGTTTTAGTGTCGAATGAATGGCTATACCGGGTATCAATCAGGTTACATACGCTACCAAGTGTTGTTATTCATCAACATTTGAGCAAATATCAACACGATATTGATTAGAATATTGGTATCTGGTGTCAAAGAAAGTGTGTTCTTATTTCAAACTTTCGCCGCAGTGCTTGGGATATTTTTCTACGTCTGCTTTAATTTTTGAAATTTTCTTTGTAACTTGTCTGATTTATTTTTGTGTTTTGATATTTCTCAAAGAGAATTGTTATTAGCACTCCAAAAATCTCATTCTACACTCCTCGTAAGTGTATTTTTTTCTTCTAATTATAGAAAGTTTGGAATACCAAATGAGATTTTTGGAGTGCCAATAACAATTCTCTTCTCAAATGGAGAATAATTAATGAACTTGTAGTCTGGTTCAATAGCGTACCAAATTGGAACCCTTTGATTGAGTTCGAAGGGGTTTTGGGTGCAAAATCGAAGCCTCTTCAATTTAGATGAAAGTGGTTCGATAGTTTGCACCCAAAACTCATTTGTGAATTGGGATTAAACGAACCATTTCCTATTTATCATGATTTAATGAACTGAGAAGTTGAGAACAAATTAACGGATAAATGGTCTACTTTTCTTGAAGCCATGATGCTGGCTATGCTAATTTTCCAGGGAGATAAGACCATATATAGATAGATAGATAGACAGACATACCAAAAAGAGATACAGCTAAAATGCAAATTGATAGACATAATTTTCGAAATTCATTTTCCGGAATAGGTACTTTCATTGTATATGCACAGATGCATAAAAATTATGTGCTCTGACTATTTGCATTTTGTTTCTCCCACAGAATAAGGTACCATTGCTATCAGTTGAGGCATTCCATCACCTGCACATCTTTATCTTTGTCCTAGCCATTGTCCATGTGACTTTCTGTGCTCTCACTATTGTCTTCGGAGGTTTAAAGGTGAGCTTAAGAACACCAATTATTTTGATAAACCTTTTACTTGACGTTTATTGTTGGTGTTTTAAACGCAGTATGTTCATAGCATCCTTGGTTTTTTTTTATTACCATGATTCAGATACGTCAATGGAAACAATGGGAGGAGGAAAATGCAAAAGAGATTAGTGAAGTAGATGAAGGTATGAATTCTTGCTGTGTTTTCTTTTGATATTTGTTATTGAATATGAGATTCATGTGATGTCCCAATTGCATGTTTATGCGTTCAACAACACAACTAGCAGGGGTTTAATTCCATTAGAGAACGCACTGAGAGTTTTCAGATGAGCTGTCGACTGACTTACTGAACTACATTCTCATTTGGATAGGCTTCACACCATTGATCTTGTTGTTGCTTGTTGCTTGTTGCTTGTATATTTCCCCAATTCGAGATTTGTGTTGGTGCAGCTCAAACAAAGATCACCCATGTTCAGGAGCATGACTTTGTCAAGGATCACTTTTGGGGTATCGGTAAAAATTATCGTGTGAAGGGATGGCTGGTAAGATACTTTTCCATTTATAATGCAATCTATCCACATATATAATTTTAAGTTTTTAACGAAGGCTAGAACTCACAGATGATAAAATAATAGTTGAGTTTAGTGCATTTCCGTTACTTTTAAGAAAAGGAAAGAATTGATGCTTATTATTGTTTTTCAAAGAGGCCATGAACGATTTTGGTGAGTCTTGCACGATCTTGGGATAGGAACTGTTAAGGAATCCAAGAAGTTAGACCTCAGATTCACTTGAAATCAGTACAATTTTATTGTTTTTCCAAGTGGAAATACTATTGCTAACGCCGTTTTTGGTTTGTTATTCTGCACACGTCCAGCATTCTTTCCTCAACCAGTTTTATGGATCAGTGTGCAGATCAGACTACTTGACTTTGCGACTCGGTTTCATCTCGGTAAGGTACCTTTACAAAGGGTTGATGAGTTCTCAGTGTGTTTATTGCCTTACTTGGCTCCTAACCTGAGTTATATTTTTGGTGTTCTTTATTTCTCACTGCAGACCCATTGCAGGGGAAACCCCAAGTTTAATTTCTACACGTACATGGTACGCGCCCTTGAAGATGATTTTAAAAGAGTCGTCGGTATCAGGCAAGTTTTATCTGATATAATTTTGCCATAGGGAAGTTCTTTGTGAATTCATGGGTAATTTTTGAGACGTTTAAGGTCTCTGACCAAGCTGCCCTGTAAAATGGTTTTGATTCGTTTTGATTCACCATATGGTTTTCGTTGGCTGCAGTTGGTATCTTTGGATATTTGTGGTCATCTTCATGCTTATGAATGTCGATGGTATGATTCTTGTTTCAAACGAAACCACCTCCCTTTGACATTTTCATGCAGTTTTTACACTTGTGGCATAGATTGCATTGCCCGCCTTCAAGAAGAACACTATCGCCATAAATAGTGACATTCTTTTCTTTTTCGCGTGCAGGATGGCATGCATACTTCTGGATTGCATTTATTCCTTTCTTTGTAAGTGGTCTTCGCATAACCTTGCTGGGGTTTTGTCACTCATTTCTCATGTGCATTATTTTCATTTCATCTGCTGTGCTTGCAAATTCAAGCATTTAATCTAACTCCTTCCATTACATTTCAGTCACTGCGTCGTTTGAGTTGTGCATAATACAGAACACTAATTGTTCTCTGTCATCATTGTTCTGATTTCAGTTCCTTGCAATGTAATCAATCGTTTTTATCCTCTTTCTCCAGCTTCTACTTGCTGTTGGAACTAAGCTGCAGCACGTAATCACCCAGTTAGCTCATGAAGTTGCTGAGAAGCATATCGCCGTAGAAGGAGAACTAATAGTTCAACCATCAGACAAGCACTTTTGGTTTGGCAAGCCCAAATTTGTTCTCTTCTTGATTCATCTCATCCTCTTCCAAAATGCTTTCGAAATGGCATTCTTTTTCTGGATATGGGTAAATGCAGATTCTTCAATCCACTTCATACCATCCGATTACAATTAAATTGTTAATTGAGACTGACTTGATCTTTGATCTGCTTATATTCTTTTGCAGGTTCAATATGGTTTTACATCTTGCATAATGGGAAAAGTAAGATACATTGTCCCCAGGCTTGTTATTGGGTAAAACTCCAAAGACCTTTCCCTTTTTCATTCTTCGTTCGAAAATCACTCGAAGAACATTCAATTTAACATTTCTTGCTGCTAATCCCTCTCCCTTTAATTTTCTGTTTCATTAGGGTGTTCATTCAGGTGCTCTGTAGTTACAGTACTCTACCACTTTATGCCATTGTCACGCAGGTGAGTCGAGTTTAAAACTGCAACTTACCTTCCCCTTTCTAGTGAGTGGGGGTTTGGCAAATTTAGTAAAAATTTGATGCTGATGGACAAAAAACTCCCCTTACTCAATGCTTACACGTAAGCCCCTTCGAGGAAGACTCGAAGGCAGTTTGAGTACAATTAGAAGAGTCGATACTTGAAGGGGCTTCAAGTTAAAAAGGAGTGTTATTTGTCCACAACCATCAAATTTGGCAAATTTTCAGCTTAAGAGAAAGAGTCATTAACAGATAACAAAATAGTGAGTTTAGTCAAGTTTTGATGCTATTTTCCATAGTCATCAACTTTGGCTAACGTAAAGCTTTCTAAAAATGGCTGGTTTTCGTTACGATGACTAAATTTTGTCTAATTTTTTCGGGGTGGTTGTCAAAGTTGCACATTCTTTAAAGTTCTCCATTCTTTTCTGTTTCTGCAATGCAATGTAGATGGGAACCAAATTCAAGAAAGCAATATTCGACGAGGGTATACGCTCGGGACTTATTGGTTGGGCTCAGAAGGCAAAGAAAAGGAAGGCGAGCAGCGTCGACGGATCTGGATCTACCTCTGGTTCCTCCGTGGGAGTTCAGCTAGGCAAAGTTAACCAAAAGACAACGACCAAGGGCTGAACATCTCTTCTTCACATGATATATATCTTTTTGTAGAGTCAAATATAGCCGTAGCTCTCACCACCCTCAAGATTATTCTTCTGCATAGGGGGGCCTGAAGAACTCAAATGTCAAATCATATAATTTACTACGAATTTTTATGAAATATTTCCGATTCGGAATGTAGAAATTATATTCAGGAATCAAGGTATTATGAATTATGTATCCAGTTTTTCCAAATTTTCCATACATAATTCCTTTTGGACCTGATATTGTCGGTGCATGTGCATTTATTTCTAGCACACTGATGGTGTTTTTGTTAAGAGTGGTTGTTGTCTACACTAAAAATAAGAGTAATTATACGGAGACTACATTTATAGACTACATTTGCATATTAAATGATGTCTCATTAAAAAAAAATTAAGCACATTAATCAACGCTTAATTAATAATCTAATCTCCCTAGCATTGATTTTGACCTAATAAGATGATTTACAAGGAAATAAAATTTGGACTTTTAATTTACTCTAATGAACAATGTAGGCCGTATTGTTTTTGACTAGTCAAAGATACCAAAATCTCAGCCTTCCCTCTCGACTGTTGTGCAACGCATGTTGGTGTTTCTGGAGGGAAGGTGATCACGGGTTTAGGCAAAATACCACTTAAAACCAAGACCTTAGAACTTTAAGAACCTTCCTTTAAACTCTAAGATCAATTAGAATTTGCTCTATTACCAACTCTTTTGCATAGTATCGATTTACCAGCCTTAAGACAATTAGTCTCTTTGATTGTAACTCTTTACAAGGAAGCATCTTTAACCAAATCTGATGGTCTAATATCCAATCCGATAAAAGTTCTATCGATTGCTCTTAGCTCAAATCTGAGAGTGGCAGCCCATATGAGATGGCTGCTCATCTAGGAGGAGTGCCATTTGGAAAAGTAATGATTGATGGAGAGGCATCTGTGAACGTTTTGCCTCTGAAAGTGTTAAGAAAATTGAGCCTATTACATGCTGATTTAATCTCTATAGAGTTAACAACATCAAATTTTTCTGGGGGCATCACCAAAACCTATGGTGTTACTTGGGATCAAAGAAACTTATGGTGGCTTTCTTTATTGTTGAAAACACATCCACTTGTAATGCATTGTTGGGCATAGATTGGTTGTTGGATCCAATGAAGATGCGTGTTCCATGCTAAGAGGATTTTAGGAATTAGTACATGCCGACTTATGTCCAGTTTTCCCCTTTGCCAACATTTCAAGGGCAAACTTCTACAATCCAGATGTGCAATGACGGAGCCAGAATTTTATCCTAATGGAGGCATAACAATAATATTATCAATCAAGGTACCCAATAAAATTGTGGTTGGGCTGCTCAATGGTAGTATTTTCAAGGGTGGTTAGTTTTTCACTTCTTATAATTTTGTGATGCAATTTATAAATATTTGAACTTTTGAGGAATAGGTTAAACTTGAAATTCTTTAATGACTCCACATCTTGTATAGGTCCTATTTTCATTTTAAGTATGTTGTAGGAGTTAGATTCAAGTTTAGGGGAAGCCTTGAAAGGAAGAAACTGCTTAGATAAATTGGGAAACCTGTTCATAAAGCTGCACGTTGTGCCGTAATTGACTGGCTGCTGATGGTTTTAACAACAACATATTGGTGATGAACATAATTATAGCATTTTGGCGATGAACATAATTATCTAACCCAAACTAACTTCGGGTAAGATGAGTTGTCATTTGTCAATGACTCAAAATCCAAATATGTTCATAATCTAAAAATACTATACACTCTTTTGTGTGACAATAAATTTGGATAGCATCAACCTTGCTAATTGGAGCTGCAACATGGATTTGGGCTATTGTTATTTTGAGAACCCCCCTGAGTCCTGATTGGGTTGGTTTGCTGTGTTATGGCGGATCTGTTAGGCCCGTTTTATTGCTGAGAGAAATTGATTATTGTTTTCTGGGGGTGTTTTTATACCCATGTTCACCGAATGAATAATATTCTATATAATTTCTAGAAGTGAACTTTTAAATCCAGATTTGTTCCTAATCCAAAATGCTCTATGTTTTGCTGAAGTAAACTTGTTTTTGTTAACTTGGCTTTGTTTTTGTTGTTTTTGTTAACTATTGATGGATAGATTTTATTTGGGGAAGGATCCATGGCACCACATTTCATTTCAGACACAAGTTTTGAGCCTTCAATTTCGTCATCATCAGTATATGGATTAGTTTGTGAACAGTCTATGATTGAACCCAGTCAATTGTATAAGTAACTCATATGGTCAATGTCAACAACAATCAGACACACTTCCATTACAATTTAGAATGGTAGCCAAAATCTGGGAGAAGGAGACCAACAGAAACCAATAGCTTAGGCTTTCTGCGTGAAGAGGAGGAGGAGGGTTAACTTTGATCTCTTCGATTTTCAAGGAACGAGTGAAAAATAAAATTAATTAAAATATTTCAGATTTATTATTTCAAAGTTTATTTATTTAAAAAATATCAATTAAACTTGGCATGTCAAATTCAATCCCATCCGTTCGTAATGGGCTAATCCAATGGCATAACAGTTTTGTCTAAACTTGTGTCTAAAATGTGGTGTCATGGATCCCTCCCCATTTTATGTTTTTTCTCAATACGTTAAAAAATAGGTAATTAATATTTCTTCCAATAATATAATGCAGCTTGCGGAAATAGCTCAGAATTTTGTGAAACATGTAAGTTGTGACTTATTCCTTTTCCTTTTGGTCTCCTCTTTTGGTTATGTTTTGTTTTATATCCCACTTTCTCGGTTTGAAATTCTATTTTGTGCTGATTATACTTGTTGTTTTTTAATGATTAACTTGATTTTAATATCATTTCTATTAAATGACTCTTTTGTGTTATGTGCTTGTTGCTGCATCCAAGTCAATGGACAAATTCAAACTTGTTGATACTGGCAGCTTGTAAGTTGAAATAGTAAGTCTTTTACAATGCTTCTGCAACTGAATAATATGTTTAATTTCACATTTATGCAATTTTGTACAGGTGTGTCAATTTCAAAACCGTTAAAAGGCTTTTGGATACAGATGCACTAAAGATAGAAGATATCCCTGTTTCGAAAGTACCATACCCCATAATCTGTAGAACTTCCCTATATTAACTAGTAATTACTAAAAATACTGTTCCCTTTTAACAGGGAACGGATGGTGATGAAATTCCTTTGCAAGAAACAGCAGCTGGTTCAGCAATACGGGTATTTTTCGTCCGATGATCAATATTTGTCATTTCTTTCAATAGTTATTGTTTCAATGTTTTTATGTAATGTAACTTTTATGTCTGTACCAGTTCTTTGTGTTGAATTATGGTCAAATGACATAACAACTTTCGGCTAAATAAAATAAACAAAATGAGGTAGACAACATCATTATGTTTATTGAAAAGATACAAGGGTCATGATGATGTTTGTAGAAAAAAGGGTAAAGGCTAGCAAGTAGCCTTATTATTGGTTTTGTATTTAGCTACTTTATGGATGTTGAAGCTTAGCATCCGAATGTGAGAGAGAAGAAGGAGAGCACCATTTGTTTTAGTAGCCCATCTTTGAGAGAGCAAGGGCAGCCACATAGTAGCAGAAAATAGAAAGCACAGATTGGTTTTTTCAGTAGCTCCATTTTGGAGAGAAGAAGAAAGTGTGCCCTCTCATTGTTCAGTTCTCACTCCATCAAAGTTTTATTGTTGTAATAGCTTTGAGCTTTGTATAGAGAAGAAATTAATCACTATATTTCTTTCTCTATTTGTTTCTTTGGTGTGAGAGAGCTATTGGTTATATTGGGATTTTGGGTTGTGAGTTTGTTAACACTTTGTAAACTCTCATTTGGTTGAGAGTGGATTATTGGATGAGCTCCTACTGCTCTGAGGATGTACTCCAGTTAAACTGACTGTTAAGGAATCTCGTTAAAATCTTGGTGTCTTTAATATTTTGTTCTTGCATTTCATTTTGGCTAAATTGGATTGTTCATCCCTGTGGTCATAGGACACTTGCATGATGACCCCCGTGGTGAAAAAACTAGGAATTAAACCCCTGTGGTCTAGAATGTTAGCAAATTTAGTCCAAAAGTAAGATTTCTGTTAAAGGACTGTTAAAAGTTGGGGTAAAACTGTATTTTCAGTTCCAATTGACATTGAATTAGGGCTTTTTTTTTATTTAAAAAATTAAGCATTATTTTTTTTGTTAATTGTTATAAAAAAATTATTTATTTTAAATGTCAATTGGAACTGAAAATACAGTTTTACCCATACTTTTAACAATCATTTAACAGAAATCTTACTTTTGGACTAAATTTGCTAATATTCTTGACCACAGGGGTTTAATTCCTAGTTTTTTCACCACGGGGGTCATCATGCAAGTTTCCTATGACCACGGGGATGAATAATCCAATTTGGCCTTTCATTTTATATATTTTTTGTAGGTTAGCTTGAGTTGGTTCCAACGGGTTTAGTGTTGTCCTAGCACAATAATTGGTATCAGAGCACTAGTTGCTCTTGAGTACTGTCTAGTTGCCAAAGATGTCAGATGGGCAAGATGAGAATCCTTTTGGAAGCAGCTCCGGGTTTGCAAGAACTACGGTGCAAAATGCAAAATTCAAAGTGGAAAAGTTTGATGGCACAAACAACTTCAGGATGTGGCAATGTGAGGTCAAATATGTGTTGGCTCAACAAGATCTACTTGCCGCTTTGGGAGAGAAGCCGGAAGCTATGTCGAAGCCGGAATGGGAGAAATTAAATTTGTGGGCTTGCTCTTCAATTTGGTTGTGCCTTGCAAAAACTCAGAAGTCTTTTGTGATGCGGGAGACAGTAGCAAGTATGTTATGGCAAAAATTGGAAGACAAGTATATGACGAAGAGTGCAGAGAACCGGCTACACTTGAAGAAAAAGTTGTACCGCTTCCAATACAAAGAAGGTACAAAAATGATTAGACACATTGATGCTTTTAATAAGTTGATTGCCGACTTGTTAAATTTAGATGAGGATATTAAGGATGAAGATAAGACCTTAATATTGTTGAATTCCTTGTCAGACTCTTATGAGCATTTTGTTACCACTATTATGCATGATAAAGAAACTGTGAAATTTGAAAATGTGTCAAATGCCTTTATGAATTATGAAATGAGGCATAGAGATAAAAATCATGAAAGTACCTCTGAAGTTTTATTTGTTAGAAGTAGATCATCGGAGAAGAGATCATCTTCTAGTAAGAAAAAATCACACTCTCAACCTAGAGG